ACTAATTTTAAAGACCAGTAATCTTATAGAGTTCCTTATTTCATTTTCATTTTTTACTTCCCTGTTACGTCCCTCCCAGAAACACCCATCAGTTCCAACATGATCTTAACAGCTCTTAATTTCCTGTATTTTCAAGTATTCAGATATATCCTAGAATGGAAGAATAAGCACAAGCATATTTTGTCTGACGTGCAGGTCTAGAAATTGCTGTTTGGTGTCCTATCACATGTTATCCTGTTTGCTGACACAGCTATTAAAACTGGATTAAAAGGGGAAAAGAAGCAGCCAAGTATAACATAATGTGATCAAACATGATTTTCTAGTTTTCCCACCTTGTGTACACACACTGTATGGTTCTGAAATGCAGTTTCTAGCTTTCTGGGTGTTTTTTACCTATATGCCATGATTTATGATACATGAAGCCAGGCTCAAGTTGTTTTCTTGCTGGTTATAGAAGTCCCAGGCCAGCCTGCTGTCAGACTTTACAAAATCTCAGGATACTCTGACCCTTGCCATTATGGTCTTCTGACACTTACTGCTGTATAGAGAAATCTTTGTGCTTTGTTGTGTTTGTCTAACATTTGAAAAAATACTACTTTGCTATGTGCAAGTGTAAATTTTTAAAAAGGTGAAATATTGGAACACAATGTTTTAAGTTTTGTTCAATTACACGTATTTTCCTCAAAACATGAGCAGTTTCTTTTGCATTAGAAAAAACTTTGGGCTAGACTTTATTGTTTGTTGCTTGAAATGTATACTTATTTTCTGCTTAGAAAGAAAGAAATTATCTTTGCTATGACTCTCTGTAGCTGAAGAATGTGTTGTGACCTGGTATCAATTCTTAATAATGACATGAAGAATGTCCTCAAGCCTCTTTTAATTCTCCAAAGGAATAGCAAATGCCCACTGGGGCACTGCCTCTAAAATTGATTTTGTAAGGTTTAAATAAGTGGCATAGAGAACAAAATCGCCTTGAAACTACAGTTGTGATGAATCAGGATCTATTCTGGAAGGTTGGCTGCTGTGCCCAGTTTTTCTTAGTTGATCAAAACTTTCATCTCCAGTAAGACCAGAGCAGATTTGCAGAAGTCTTGTTTATAAAATTTCCTTCCCAAGGCATTTTTACCAACGTAAAATTTCTTCTGGTCATATGAACCATAAGAAACTGAAGTTACTTGTTTGATTTACTGTTTTAAGCTTACCAGCTAGAGGTTCTAATTCCTGAAAGGATCTTTTTCTGCTGTTAACTTCTGGTATGAAATTGTATATGGGAGCAGTGCTGATCCTGGCTTAAAATGTGTAGAAAAGTCTTCCTAAAAATCTGCTGTTTGATATTGTGATCGTGGCATGTACCCAGATGGGGGATTAATCATAAAGTCTGTTTCCTCTCATGGAAAAAGGGAGGTGTGAGGTGGGGCTCTCTTCGCTGTTGGTGCAGAGGTCCTCCAGTTGTATTGTGCCCCAAAAGTGCTTTTTAGAAGACTGCAGAGAATCAAACCTGCCTCACAGGAACATTTACTGTGGCAGATCCCCTCCAGAGAAATGCTGGCCCTGGTCGTGAAGGACCCTGTTTGGAAAGTAATAGGGAAAGGGAGCTGAAAGGACTTTCAGCTGCAATATTAAAGATGGAATATTTTGCCCTTTGAGGTTAATAGGTTTACCCTTATGCAACCAAATATAAAATGTGACTGTGAAGTTTTTTACATTACCATCTTAGCATTAGAAGAAAAAAGGTTAAATGCTTTTTTTGTGCAGTCATTGCAATGGGAATGGGGCCACAGAAGTACAGAATGTTTTGTTATTTCCACAGCTTACTGTGAACAAAATAAAGATGTCTTTCCACGTTTAACTACAGGAAAAAAATGATAGTTTTTTTCAGTTCCTTGCAGCAATAAGTGTGATGTGATTGCAGAGTTCTAGAAAAAAAATAGGAGCAGCACATTGTCATTGTAGACTCACTAACTTAAATGTGAGTGCTAAGAGCTGTGCAACCCCAAGAAAAATGTTCAGCATTAGGTCCTCATGATGTGGTGTGGGATGTCATCACTTATTGCGGCACGTGGAAGACTAAAGTACCCAAAACAAATGGGAGCTGTATATGTGATGATGTATTTCACCTCAGAATAAAAACCCATTTTCAAAGGGAGTCTTACCATAGAGTTCTGATTAATTTGAGATTGCGGAATGAAACAATTGAGCCATATGTTGAGAAGAAATATTTTTATTTAACTAAGCAGTACTACCTTGTGAAATATTTTCTTACAGCTGACTTTCAGGAATTATATCCAGAAACAGGAAAGCTAAAAACAGGTTATTGAAGTATTTGTTTGAGTATTTGGCTACTTCAGTGATCATGTTTGCAGTAGACTTTGGAAATACAAGTGAAAACAGTGTTTCATGTTTAGTACATGTTAGATTTGTTTGAGGTCTGCTTGGCTGAATTTGGACTAATAGTACAGGAATGGTGAAAGCTGTATCCTTCACAGAGAAACTGCTTCTTGAGTGTTCAGTGCAAGAAGCTTAAGGGATGCTGCAGCCTATTCTGAAAAACTTTTCTAAAAAAAACCTGAGAGCACTGAACTTTTAAAGACAATTACCATGCTTAGGAAATGAAATCCAAAAGCCAAGAACTGACAGAGGTACAAGCATTTGAAAGTAGTGAATTGTTATGTGAACCATTATTATATTAATTTCTTAGGAACCAACCTGAAAAAAGAGATGCTGTGCATTCCCTCTTTGTAATCTCAAATTGGCAACTTATTCTTTCCTTTCAGAGCACAGTGTTTGTACAGTCTGAGCTTCCTGGGTATATTTTATAATAATATTCAGTTCATGTCATCTTGCAGCTTTAAATTGGGCAAGACACACTTTCTACATGTCTAATATATTTAATTGAAAGTGTGAGTGCAAGGTAATTTTGCTTAGGGCTTTCTGCAAAGTACACCTTTCACTGACTGCACTAAATAAACACTGGTTTTGTAGCAGGCAAGAGATTCTTGGGGTAAAATAAGATCTCTTCCAAGGAGTGGAAATCTGTTGGTTGAATTAACTAAAGTTGTTAGAAATGTTCATTAAAGTAACATTTTGGAGGGTATTTTCAGCTTCTAAATTTACTTGAACCACTCTTCTATCCAACTACCATAGGAATAAAACAAAAAAATAGACTTATACATAGTCTGAATTCTAAGCATTTACAATTCAAAAGCATTTTACAGAACAATCAATGAGGTCTGTATGATATTTGTAACAAACAAATATTCTATATATGAAGCATAATTTCAGAATTGTAACCTTAAACATTTGTGTCAGTTAAAATTTTTGGAATTTAGAATAGAGTATTTTGGGACTGGTTTCCCTACCAACCCCAACTGAATATTGTTGGAATTTGTTGATATTTATCTCTGACAAAAGGTTTATCTACAGCTCTTGCAGCCATGTGTTATCAATTAAGCTGTACCTACTCCAGAGATTGTGTTTTGAAAGCAGAATGCTAGTTTTTCCTCCTGAATTACAAATGAGGTTTTGCATAGCAATTGGTATCAACTAATTTAACATAACCATAGTATTAGATTATTCTTTTACCTATTGGGTTTTCTTATGTTAAATAGGGGCACAGTTCCTTAAAATCCTGCAGGAACCTATGAGGTGCCAAACTAATACATTGGTTACAGCTCTGAACAGCTTATTTAGTTTTTGTATCGTATCAAATTAGATTTGGTAAGCTGTGTGGCTAAGTACAATTATCAAACAATTTTATATACTAAGAAGAAAACCTTTGATTTGGAGATTCTGGTACTGAAAGTGAATATTGAGTTGTTTCTGATTTTGGAATTATCTTGTTCTGATGCAGTATGTAGCATGGCTTTTGTTAAAGGTTGAAAAAGTGTTTTCTAATTAGTTTCTTAAATTACATATTAATTCCAGTGGAAGCCTGATATGTAGAAGGTAGAAAAAAATACAGGCTATCAGAAGTTTTATATGTGATGGGGAAGGGAAATGAGTATGTCATAAGAGCAGGCCAAGTTTGGAGTGGCAGGGAAAATGCACTCAGACCTGGCTTCTGATCTTTGTTTCACTGTGTCAGCAGG